CCCCAAAACCCCAAAACCCCAAAACCCCAAAACCCCGCGAAGGTTATAAAAATTGATCATTTTCTAAATGGAGGTTCCGCGCAAACACAAGTTCGACATGAGGACAAAGACATCTAGAGAACAAGAGTTCTTACAAGTCACCGATCTAGGTAAGGTTAAGAGGAAGAGAGAACTTTACATGGTCAACCTTCGGAAGAAGTGCAGGTCTAAATAGATTCAACCAGCGCAGATTCTGACGTATTGAAGAAAATGGTAATTTCTTGGTCTGATAAATCCTGTTTAGATAACACCCAACTCTTGATGTCATGCCTCAAATCCTTAGGAGTTTATGACATGAGCACAAGTGATAGATTTTCGGAAATTATTGAAATATTAAAGAGGTCTGAAGACCTTGAGATTGTATCTAAATGAATCACCGTCTTCAAACTTCTTGCCAAAGAGATATGTGAAGAAGAAAACTATAAAGATAGTGATATACGCGATTTTCTGGTCCCGATTATCAATTACGACTGCATGAAGAAATATGAATTTGTTCTAAAGTCTGACTGTGATCTCCCCCAGAAAATTGTTGCCCTCAATCTCCTCTCTTTCGTTATCAGAAGTTTGAATAACATCAATAAAGCAGATGTATTTGAGATTGAAAATACCTTGGTTTCAGTTTTTATCTCGCTTATCCCAGATGAAGAAACTGTTATTACTGAAGATCTAGCTAAATTTACACAAGAGATTCTTGACTGCTTAGTGGATATATGATATTCAACAAACAACGCCCTCTGTTTCCACCAGTCTCACATCTTAGAGAATCTCACCGAATTAGTGAAAAATCTGAACAATTGGAAGCTTAGGATAGAAAATAGTGACAGATCAGAATCTTCGCACTCGACTCATGAAGATGAAGACTTAGTTCAGATCCAAGAGCTACTCTACGAGCTAAGTGTTACTCTTGCCACTAAACTTCCAAGAGACAATGACATTGAAATGGTGAATTTTCTAAAAGAAATAGGTAAACTTTTGTCCTAAAAATAGATCTGGAATCTGCATTCTTAGGGAAGAGCCCTAGTGAATCATGAGGCACCCACCTTCTCGAGCTTGCTTGCAAACTTTGTGAAAATGATTTCTTCACTGAAGAAATCCTTGGGATAGTCCCTCTTTCAACAATAGGTAAGAGAATACTAACCTTGTAGTGAAAATTTGTGAGGATTGTAATGATAAGAGCTTGGTTAAGGTCCATGAAACTCTTGCAAATATCCTTTCCCATGAAAATACAAAATATGTCGAAGAAGCAGACTCAGTTACTGGTGGTCCATCGTAAGACTTAATTCTTAAAATAGGCTTCTTTCAATCATCAAACAGGACATAAACACTGGTGATGAGCTTTACGGAAGTGAAGGTCTTTATATGCTGGAGAATGCACTCTGCAGTGACAAATTCTACCTGAAATTTCTTGATGATTATGAAATAATAGAAATCCTGATATCAATCTTTAAGGAGTCCTCATCCACACCTGACTGAATAGTTAGACTTGTCTGAAAAATCATTTTGGATATTTTCAAGAAGGATTATTACGAATGTATTAAAATATTCCAAGAGCAAGGCCTGAATGACATGGTCCTAGAAAAACTAGATTCAAATGTCTCCCACAAGGTAACCCAGTCCCTAAATTTTAGAACATCTTGGTCCTGGAATACATACTGAAGATTGCCCATGAGATCATCAACAGGAATGATGCTAACAGCATTATCTTTACTGAACAAAGAGGGCTTGAACTTGTAAGCAGAATAATGGATGATTTTCCAGTCCAGGACATTCAAGACATCTGTATGTCATGTCTCGAATGCACTTCTGATCCTGAAGGACTTGATAAGCATATGGATACACTATATGGCAACTAGTAAATTCAATATTCCCTTCTTTTACTGGGGTTTTGGGGTTTTGGGGTTTTGGGGTTTTGGGG